GCCATATCAAAAGAGGGGCGGCGCTGAGCAGTGAGCTGAGCCTTTAACCGCCGAACGGGGAACAGACTTTGGCACTGAAACCGCACAAAATCTGGCAGAAGAGGTGGTGGGCAACCTGGAGGAAGCTGTAGATATTGACTAAGGCGTAGCTAGGATTGTGTTTGTCCCCTTTTTTTTTTCTTTTTTTTGAATTGATGTAGCTGGCTACGAGGCCCACTTTTGTAATCAGGCTTTATCATGAATGAAAAGTGAACTTTTTCCTTGCCATGTATGCAAATTTTTATTTGCCCTGTGGTTGTCATTTTCTTCGATTTGGCCGAGATAAAATCTTCTCAGTGCATTCTGATCGTAATGGTCTCAGTTTAACGAGCAAACTCATCATGGTTTAAAATATTAGTTGAACACAACACCAATTGTTTGGTAGCCCGAGCAAGGTCATCTCAGTAAACACACCAACATTTTAAGCGGGCGAGCAATGTCAACACGGTTACAATATAAGTTGGGGGAAATTGATTATGTTTGTGCGGTCGGGCGAAATCAGTTCGGTGAGTGAGCAAAATCAGCTCTACATCGGCCAGCAAGAAGTAGCTCGGGTAATCATGAGCGAAATCTGCTTTTCAATTAGCGAGTCAAAATTAGCTCGGTCAATGATGAACAAAATCTCCTCGATGTAATGCGCAAAATCTGCTCTTCATCGGAAACCAAGAAACAACTCCGGTAATTATGAGTAAAATCTGCTCTTCAATCGGTGGGCCAAAATCAACTTGGTCAATGATAAGCAAAATCAACTTCACAAAGCCGGGCAAAAATCAGCTCGGATAATTATGAACGAAATTGGCTCGGCTAAAATACAAGTTGGGAAAAACACCAACTATTGGGCGGTTGAGCAAGTTCAGCTCGGTTCAACAAGCAAAATCAGCCCATAACCGGATAACTGCTCATTCTGCAAAAGTTATCCCAGTTTTGAACACTTGCCCCTGGTACTCATAGCAACTTAATGCCTTTATAACATTTCCATGTAGAAACGCGAACATAAGAGAAAGAATGGGTCATCTTCTACTACATGTTACAGATTACACCCAATGCCAAAAGTCCAAGTTACAAGAAGCAAAGAAGTAGAAAAGATTACATTTCAAAAGTAAAATATCTTAAGATTGGCTGCATTCCATGGTCTGGGGATAGATTTTCTATCTAAGTCTTCCAGGTGGTATGCCCTTTTGCCTGCATGGCCAGTTATCTTGTATGGCCCCTTTCAATTTGCTTATAATGTTCCCTTGCCAGGGATCACTGTGTTGCCCATTACCTTCCTCGAGACCCAATCTCTGGCTTTGAATAGCTTAGGATGTAGGGTCTTGTTGTGTTTCTTGGAGAGCTCTTGCTGGTAAGTTGATATGTGGATTAGAGCCTGTTCCCTTTTTTTTTTCGGCAAGGTGAAGCTCTAGGGCTATAACTTCATTATTCAAGTCTAGTTGGAAACTTTCAGATTGGATGGTTTGCATACCAATCTCCAATGGTATGATTGCCTCCATGCCGTAAGCCAAGGCAAATGGAGTTTCCCTGGTTGAGCACCTTAGTGTAGTGCGGTATGCCTAGAGCACATTGGGAAGTTCCTCAGCCCACTTCCCTTTGGCCTTCTCCAATCGCTTCTTTAGCCCGTCCAAGATGGCTTTGTTTGTAGCTTCGGATTGACCATTTGATTGGGGGTAGACCGGTGTACAATTGTAGAACTCAATATTTAACACCTCGCAAAACCCACGAAAGAGTTTTCCGTCGAACTGAGTGCCATTATCCGAAATAAGAGCTTTTGGGATGTCGAAGTGGGTGCCGACATTCTTCCAGACAAATTTTTTAACATCTTTTTCCTTGATGGTGGCCAATGGCTTGGTCTCCATCCATTCGGTGAAGTAGTCGGTAGCAATGATGAAAAATTTGCGGTTGCCTGGAGCTACTGGAAGAGGTCCTATAATGTCTAGCCCCCAAAGCGCAGATGGCCAAGGACTTGTAAGGGGGGGCAACTCTTTGGCCGATTGGTGAATCTGGTTCGTGAATTTCTGACATTTTTCGCATTTGCGAACATATTTCTACGCGTGAGCTTGCATGCACTGCCACCAATAACCCATGGAAAATTGCTTGGTAAGCCAAAGATCTGCCCCCAATATGACTTCTGCTGATGCCTTCATGAATCTCAAAGAGGAAAGCTTCAACCTTGTTTGGGTGGACACACTTCAGGTATGGCCCAGTGAAAGATTTCTTGTACAAGGTGCTAGATGGAGACAGCCAAAGCCACTCTGACTTGGCCCTTATCTTGTTGGCCTCTTACTTTTCAGTGGGTAGAATTCGATCCTTCAGGAAGGTGATAATAGGATCCATCCAGGATGGCCCAAGTCGGCGCAGAGTACTTTAGGCACCTCTGGTTCCTCAATGCTCAGTCAAGGTAATAAGTCTATCATCAAAGGATTGGGAAAACTCATTTGCATAGATGCTAGGCCGGCCAATTCGTCGGCTGCATTATTTTTTTCGCGGTTAATTTGTTCCATTCTTATTACGGAAAACTTTTTGAGTTCTGCGTGTACCACCGCTTGATACTTAGCCATCATTTCATTCTTGGCCTCATATTCCCCAGTGACCTAATTGACAACCAGTTTGGAGTCGCTGAATACCAGAAGTTCTGATGCCTTCATTCTCAAAGCGCTCTTCAATCCAGTGAGGAGGGCTTCATATTCCACCTCATTGTTGGATGCTAGGAACCCGAGTGTGATCACATGCTCAATGGTCAGCCCATTCGAGGACGTCAACCCGACCCCTAGCCCGGCGCAATGTCTATTGGAGGCCCAATCGACGAAGACTTTCCACATCCCCCCAATGAACAACTTCTAACAGTCAGAGGGATTTGGAGAGTTCCTCTGCTTCAAGGTACCGGTTGGCTGATTCTGGTCACTATTAACATCTCCGTCGAGCTTGTATTTTGGTAAATTGGCTGGTTCTTCAATTTCTCGCTCAGCTTTCTCTTGTCGTTCTCCTACTTGTTGTCCACCACTTATTTCTGCTATCCGGGCCATGGACTGCACCAAGTCTGCGCTGGCCAAATCAACAGGGTAAAGTGGGTGTGTCCCAGGGACAAATTCCGCCACGAAGTCAGCAAGAGCTTGAGCTTTGATAGTAGCACGCAGTTGGAACTTGATATCGTATTGCCCCAATTCCGCGGCCCACTTCTGCAGGTGAAATCTTCCTTTTCAAAGAGAAGCTTCAGCGGAAATTCAGTTAGCACGACTATCGTGTGGGGATGGAAATAGTGCGCCAGCTTTCTTGAAGCCATCATGAGAGACAGAACCAGTTTTTCTGCCGGTAGATATCTTGATTCGGCCGGGAGCTGTATCTTGCTAATGTAGAAGATGGGGAGGCGCTAGATTCCCTCAGTGCAGATGCGGACGGTGCTCACCGTGTGTTGAGAAACTGCCAAGTAGAGACACAGTTCTTCGCCCGGTTTTCATGTGACCAAGATTGGGGCCGAGGAGAGGTATACTTTTAGATCTGCCAGTGCACGGTCGCACTCGTCATCCCAAAAGAACTTGGCCTTTAAAGTTTTGAAGAAGGGCTAGCAATGATATGAAGACTGACTAATAAATCGGTTCCGCATTACTGCCATTCCAGTGAGATGTTGCATGCTCTTCGTGGAGTTTGGCCGCTCCAGTTCTTGTATTGCTTTGAGCTAGGAAGGGTCAACCTCGATTCCCCGGTTTATGTCCAAAAAACCAAGAAATTTCCCGGTTTCAACTCTGAATGCACACTTAGAGGCTTTTAAACGCAGCTTATGATCTTTGAGTCTGGCAAACATTTCTGCTAGGTCATCAAGGTGTTGAGGCCTGTCTTTGCTCTTCACCATCATGTGATCGATGTAAGCCTCAATAGTGCGGCCAAAAAGAGGAACGAATATTTTGGTTACCATCCTCTGAAAAGTTTCCCTTGCATTTTTTAGGCCGAACGGCATGACCTTGTAGCAGTACAAGCCTCTGGGAGTGGTGAACAAAGTGATCTCTCGGTCTGGTTTGTACATGGTAATCTGGTGGTAGCCGCGATATGCATCCAAGAAGCTAAACCTCTGATGGCTAGCGGTTAGATACACCAACTGGTCTATTCTTGGGAGGGGGAAGCTGTCCTTTGGGCACGCACGGTTGACTGTCTTATAATCCACCCACACCTGCCATTTACTATTCCTCTTCAAAACTACCACTGTGTTAGAGATCCATCTGAGGTACTGCACTTCTTCCATCGCCCTAGCTTCCAACAAGTTCTTGACCTCCTCTGCCACTATCTCGGCATGGTGCAAGGTTGAGCGCCACGTTCTTTGGAAGACCGGTCGTGCATTTGGAAAGACATTCAACTCGCGAAAAATAAAGCTACGGTCAACACCAGGCATATCGTAAGGCGTCCACGCAAAGGCCTCAATGTTGGAAACCAAAAAAGTTGACATAATCGAGCCACTTGGCATTGGAGAAAGATGATCCCAAAAGAAAGAACTTATTTGGATCATTCTCATCAACGCGAACTTACACCAAATCTTCAGCCGATTTCTCTTCGACTTTTCTTCCCACGACTTCCAGGGCTTCCTTCCTTTCTGGTCCTTCTATGATTTGAACAAAGCCTTTGGTAGCTCGGCCGCCGTTTAGTGCGACAAAGCACTGTTTTGCCATTACTTGGTCCCCCCAAACCTCTTCTACTTGTCCTGCTAGCACTGGAAAACGCAGGACTTGGTGATAAGTCGATGCTACTACCTACATGACGTGCAACCAGCCCTTTCCCAGGATTATGTTGTAGGTTGATGGGACCTTAAGCACCCAAAATTCCACTTGCTTCGTGATTGACTGGCAATATAATCTTTTTGATTGGTCATTCGGGTTAAGAGTTGATGCCTACCAAAGGGGACATTGTTCGAGCCAAGTCTTTGTCCTCCAACTTCATCTGTTGAACGTGTCGTAATACGTGATCTCGACCAAGCTCCTTTAGTCAATTAGAATTCTTTTGGTATTGAAGTCCTTGATGCGAAGGGTCACCACCAAAGCATCATTATGTGGCGTTTGAATTCTCTCCAAGTCCTTCTTTGAAAAAGTTAAGAGGTCTTTTACCTCGGTCTTTCCTTTCTTCATGCTGGGTTGAACAGAGAGCACTTCCCTCATGTGCTCAGCCTTTTTGATTATCCCCCTCAGCTCACAAACTTGCGCTAGTTCGATGATGCCGTGAATGACATTGATTACGCCTCGGGGTGCTGCATCCAGGACAGCAAGGCCATTTGGTTCAACCTGTCCTTGTGGGGCGGTCCTCATAGCCCTGTCTATGTACTGGTCCAGATACCCAGCCGCCACCAGCTCCTCCAAATGTCGTTTGAGCGGCACACAGTCCTCCGTTCGGTACCCCCTTTCTTCATGGAAGGTGCAGCCATACCTTGAGTTGAAGCCCCTCTGTGTGTCTCCCAATTTGGCCAGCCAACGCACGTAGGGCTCACCTTGGGTCTCATTTAGGATGCGGTAAATTGGGATCTTAAAGATAGTGGTGGTGCCGGTTCGTGATTTCAATTTTCTCTTGGCATCTTCCTCTTCACTACGAAGAGCGTTAGCTCAGTCATTTCTGTGACTTTTGTTTCTATCATTGCGGTTTAAACCGCAATGTTGGTCTCTAGCTCGGTCATTAGGGCAGTTGTCCTCCTATCCCACCGAGTGAACCTTCCCAGCCACTCTTCCGTTCGCCGCAATCGGATTTGCTTTAACGGTTGCGGTTACGGTGGCGATGATGGCATCATCTTCCACTTGGATATGTTAGTTGATCTGCTATATCAAGGACTCCATGGTTGTGGGTTAGTCCATCATAAGCGAGTCTTACAGCCTATATCCGACTGGGAGACCTCGCTTGTATTTTGCAATAGCAAGAATGGTGGGGCAATCAAGGATATCATTGTAAGTTTCCCAATACTTGGCATTGTATGCCTTGAAAGAACCTCCAGATTCCATCTTGACACTCAGGAGGTGGTCAACCTCCTTCGGTGTTTGAATGTTGGTTTTGAATCTGGTGACAAAGCCCTCTGCTAGTTGTTGCTGCCCCTCGATGCTCTCCTCTAGGAGTCTTTCAAACCACTTCAGGCCCAGTTCTCCCAAACTTGCTGTGAATATGAGACACATCAAGGCACCATTGCGCCGGTGGGGAGCCATTACTTGCGAGTAATTATTCATGCGCATGTACTGATCCATTTTGCCATCGTACACTGTGAACTTAGGTTGATGGAATCCGGTAGGGAGTGGCATGCTCTCGATCTCTGGGGACAGTGGGGTAGCGGTAAATCTTGCTAGCTCTCTGCCCATTGGTGCTGGGGCCATTATTCTAGGCACTAGCATTGCCACTTCCTCACTGCAACGGGTTTGGGGACTCAGCCTTTGCATCGCTGGCAATCTTTGGGTCTCTCTACAGCGAGCTCGCTCCTCCAATACATCCCTCAGGTCCCCCAAATGGGCAGAGTAAGAGTATCTCGACGTCGTCCATGGACGTAAGGGACGGTAACTGCAGTCGTGAGTGTGAGATCTCTCCACTGGTGGGTCAGAGTCTCCAACTACAAAGCTTCTTGTGATAGAGAAAGAGGGCGTCCCATCTCGGCGATGACTGTCAGAGCGACGGGGCGGGGAGCACTCGCTGTGGTTGCCCACTCCAACAACACCCTTCTCCTTGATTTGGTGTTTCAGTGTCTCCATTTCAGCTGCCATCTTCTAAATGAGGGCATCCTGGCCTCTGAGTTTGTGCTCCAAGCATGGAGCATATGACTCTCCTCGTTGTCGGCGACCCTCTAAACTCTTGAAGTGTTTAGTGCTCCTTGCGCGTTTGTCTGGCACACTTCTGGAAGAGGTTTCCAGGTTCGCTATAGTCGGAATAGTGGGAGGGCCATCTCTTCATCAGACAGACTCTGGTGTGATACTGTCGACAACGGACATCAGCATTTCGTCGTTGTTAGCCATGGAAATTGTCGAAAAAGCTTGGCCAACAAGGTTTGTTTGTTAAAGACTTCTCACAGACGGCGCCAATTGTACGGGGGTGAAATATTCTTTGTTCTCCGTACTCCTTGAATCCAAGCTTCACGTGACGTCGCCTGACTTAAAAACCAAAAGATGGTGAGCTGCCCGGCGGTGTGCTACTGGATAAACCTCCGACGATCAAGTCAGCACACTTGGAGAAGAAGAAGAAGAATAGAGAGAGCACTTTAGAGGGAGAGAGTTTGAAATTCCTTCTGATCGCTTACCTCTAACGTCTATCTTCTCTTCTTTTTCTAGGATGGCCATGCAGCCTTAGAGATTATGGGAGCACTACCTTTGCTGTCATTCTGTAAGCAGGCGGCTGTGCTCCCCTCTACCTTTCTTACACATGTAGAGACCAAAACCTCCAAACAGTGTTTGTCGAAGCGCCAAACGGTATTGACACATACTAGGAGTGGATTTTCTCTGCTTTACCATTAGTCCAGGTGGCTTACACTACCAGGCTATCACTTGGAAGAAACAGACACCACAACAAACTGGAACGGCTGAGCTACAATAAACCAGTCCATTGGGATCAACTGGTCGTAGCATGCACGGTTTGGCATCTCGGCCTTGTCCCGCTACCTTGTAGGACTACTCGGCCCCACTTCAATCCAGACTATTCGTAGTTCGGCCCAACGTATCAGCACAAATTTAAGCAAATATCCATTTTTGCCGAATCATAGCTCGGTTGGCTTGCCCGGCCCAACTTAATGGGCCAGGGCAGCCGCGTTGGTTCAGTTCGACCAGGTTCATGGTCCTTGGCCCTAGCAAGGCGCAACGCCATATCCCACGCTGACGTAGATCGGCCTAATTGTTCGGCGCGAATCTCTCTCTCAATTGCCCCTTAATCCCATCCAAGCTAAGCGTGATTGGGATTACTACTCCGGCCGAGCTATCCAATTTGGCCGGTCATTGAGGATTACGCTAGTAGTCTTGTCATCGATCAATCAGCTGTACTGACAAACCATCTTTTCAACGCCACGTGGCCTTCCCTGGCTGGTTATGTGCGTTCTTATAGCTGTCCACATTATACCAAAGATTTGAAAAGTTTCCGCCTATTCAGTGTCCACTATATATATACACACAAGAAGCTCAAAAACCCTCATCACTTCTGTCACTATTGTCATCGCTGTTGTCGTTGCTTTTCGAGTCGTTTCCACCTATTTCTCTCCTCACGAAGGCCTCAGTAAGGGTCGTGGTCGACTGGGTCCTGCTTGGCATCCACACCCTTAAGTTTTTCTCACTTTCTTTTATATTCTCCATTAATGTTCTTCGTGTTCTTAATTCCCATCTGTTTCGTAACTGTTCAAATATTGCCTATGCCCTTCTTGTGGGATTAATATCTATAAGCATTAGGCCAAATGGAAGCCCTAAGTAGCCACGGGGCTTCCTTGCCCCTTATTTCCCTTGATTATTGTAGGTGGTTTTGGATTTAGGATGAATACTAAAAACTCTAGGTAGAACCGATCAAAAACCCACTTTTAGATCTAAAAATAGGATTTAGCCAAGCTAGAACTGGTTCGAGGTCCACCCTGTGGGAAGATCGAACCGAGATAGGAACCGAAATACAACACCACAACCGGTCAAATGGCCCAGAATCTCAGACCGAGCTAAAAAAACTTCCTCATAGGAGCCGTGCAAGTTATGTCGTGCTAATACTTAGGCTTATTTTTTAATAATGCAGAACAAACTAGGACCGACTAGGCCCACTCCGCATAACTGTCGGTGAGGCTCAAAGACCGAGCAAACAATTACCCAATTTTGACCGAGCTATAATAAAAATTCCTTAACTAAATAAAACTGGGATAGATATTGAAGTACCGGTTTATGGTTGATTCGCTTGGGGCAATGACCGAGTTCCATAGAGAATACAATATTCCAAACAACATCCACTTAGAGCTGGCCAAGAAAGGAGACACTCCCTGGGGCGAACTGGACAAATGCCCTTTCACGGTGGTATCCATTGTGGAAGGCAGCCTACGCTTCTCGGTCCAACCCTTAGTCTGCGAATTTTTGAGGCAGAATAGGCTGTGCCCGACCCAAGTCTCCAACAACACATACAAAATAATAAACGGCGTGGCCGTGCTGAATAGGATACTCGGTCTGAATCTCGGCCATTGAGATATTCCATCAATACACACTTAGCAAAAATAAAGGGGGGTTTTGTTGGTATCTCAAAGTTAGGAAAGGCCGATCAAACCTTATCGAAGCTAACTCGGATAAAGAGACAAACGACGGTGATTTCCTATAGGTGTCCGGTAATTACGATGACACTGAAGTGCCCATACCGAGCTGGTACATAAGAAAATATGTTAGGAGTGCTAGTGAGCACCTTAGCATGTTTTTACTTCTGTAGTTGTTCTTGTTTTTGCCGATCTAACCCTTGCTTTCTTGTTACAGACTATAAACTCTTGGCTGACGATTACTCCCGCATAAACCAAGAGGCCATAAAGATTGTGTTGTGGTATCTAGTCGAGGAGTGAGAGCCTCAAAAATTGCTCGGTTACGAACAGAGTTACCGTTACATAGCGCCGCGCAGGAGTAGGGTGATCGGCTTCCTTTGTGTCCCCTCTCCAGAGCTGGACCCAAACCTTCTGCCAATCAAACTTGTACCATTGGCAGAAGAACAAGAAATGGCCAAAATCTGAGCCATAAAGTCTATGATCACGGGGGAGCCAAGTGACTCATAGCCAGCTGAAATGACAAGAGGCCAAACATCTAGGCTTGCCGTGCAAAAGGGTCCCGTGCTAGCTCTTGCCAGCGAGGCAGCTGCTGGTCGGTCATGAAAAAGGCCAAGAAAGGAGCAAGCCGAGTAGCGCCTTGTTGACGAAGATTCGGCCGGGCTACCATCGACCGAACAGGGAGAGCAGACTGAACAATGGCTTTTTAGGCGATCCACCCATTCCACTGGCGCTGCAATCTGGTCACCCAAGCTAAAATACAAAGTCGAGCAGTAATGGAGGCGGAGTCCGTTTACGCTAATAAGGACCATTCGCTCGGCTTCAACATGACCAAGGGTTTACTTCTCCCTGAGGACATGAAGAAGCATGAGGAACTTTTTGACCTGAAAGTCCTCCGATCGGCCACAAAATCGGTCGTTCTGGTAAGTGATCAGGTTATTGTACTTCCAAGTTATCGATTGGTTTCTCATACAAACTTCTGCCTTGCTGCAGGCCGCGCAGAAAAGCTGTTTGGTGCACGAATGTATGATTGAGGCTATCGCAGACAACAAATCCAAGACGGTTGAGCTGGAGAAGCTGAAGACTGCACACGAGGCAGTGTTAACCGAGCAAGGTCTCCTAGATGAGAAGTTGGCGAAGGCCAAGGAGGAGAAGGATAAGGCCGTGCAGGCCAAAAATGAGAGATATCTGGCCGTGCTACCCAAGCTCCGCCCCTTCCACTTGGCTGAGCTAAAAAAAGAAGTGGACGAAGCCAACGATCGGGGATATGCCAAGGGAGAAATGGTGTACAGGCGGCAAATGGCGGGCACCAAAGACATATTTTTTCAGTGCGTCTGGAAAACGGCTGCAGAAAAACTTGGTCAGGCGCTGGAGTCTGAGCTGTTCAATAACCCCCCACCTGCCTTCATTCCCTCCTATATGCAAGCATATGTTGCCGCCGTGCAGTAGAAGTTGATAGATGATGCTAAGGAGGCCAACACGGTTGATGAGCCAACTCTACAGCCAACCGACAAGGCCCCACTACCAGCCATATCAGAAGAGGCGACGCCAAGCAGTGAGCAAGAGCCTTCAACCGTTGAACGAGGAACGGACTCTAGGACTGAAACTATAGAGAATGTGGCAGAAGAAGTGGTGGGCAACCTGGAGGACGCTGTACATATCGACTAAGGCACAGCTAGGCTTACGTTTGTCCCAGTCTTTTTTCTTTTTCTTTTTCTTTTTTGTATTGATGTAGCCGGCTACAAGCCCCACTTTTGTAATCAGTCTTTATCATGAATGAAAAGCGAACTTTTTCCTCGCCATGTATGCAAATTTTTGTTTGCCCTGTGGTTGTCATTTTCTATGATTTGGCCAAGATAAAATCTTCTTGTTGCATTCTAAGCGTAACTGTCTCAGTTTAACGAGCAAACTCATCATGGTTTAAAATATTAGTTGAACACAACACCAACTGTTTGGTAGGTCGAGCAAGGTCAGCTTGGTTTTAATAAGAACTCGGTAAAGACACCAACATTTTAACCGGGCGAGCAATGTCAACTTTGTTACAATATAAGTTGGGCGAAATTGATTTTTTTTGTGCGGTCGGGCGAAATCAGCTCGGTGAGTGAGCAAAATTAGCTCTACATCGGCGAGTAAAAAACAGCTCGGGTAATCATGAGCAAAATCTGCTCTTCAATTGGCGAGCCAAAATCAGCTCGGTCCATGATGAAAAAATCAGCTCGATGTAGTGAGCAAAATTTGCCCTTCATCGGAAACCAAGAAACAACTTGGGTAGTTATAAGCAAAATCTGCTCTTCAATCGGTGAGCCAAAATCAACTCCATCAATGATGAGCAAAATATGCTTCACCAAGCCGAGCAAAAATCAGCTCGGATAATTATGAACAAAATTGGCTCGGCTTAAATACAAGTTGGGCAAAACACTAACTGTTGGTGCGGCTGAGCAAGTTCAGCTCGATTTAACAAGCAAAACCAGCCCATAACTAGATAACCGCTCATTCTGCAAAAGTTATCCCAGTTTCGAACACTTGCCCCTGGTACTCATAGCAACTTAATGTCTTTGTAACATTTCCGTGTAAAAACGCAAACATAAGAGAAAGAAGGGGTCATCTTCTACTACATGTTACAGATTACACCTAATGCCAAAAGGCCAAGTTACAAGAAGGAAAGATGTACAAAAGATTACATTTCAAAAGTAAAATATCTTAAGATTGGCCACATTCCATTGTTTAGGGCTAGCTTTGCTAGCTAAGTCTTCCAGGTGGTATGCCTCTTTGCCTGTAAAGCTAGTTATCTTGTATGGCCCCTTCCAATTTGCTTCTAATTTTCCCTCGTCAGGGATCACTGTGTTGCCCATTACCTTCCTCAAGACCCAGTCTCTGACCTTGAATAGCCTAGGATGCACAGTCTTGTTGTATTTCTTGGAGAGCTCTTGTTCGTAAGTTGCTATGTGGATTAGAGCCCGTTCCTTTCTTTCTTTGGTTGGTTGGCATGCCAATCTCCAATGGTATGACTGCCTCCATGCCGTATGCCAAGGCAAATGGAGTTTCCCTGGTTGAGCGCCTTGGTGTAGTACGGTATGCCCAGAGCACATTGGGAAGTTTCTCAGCCCACTTCCCTTTGGCCTTCTCTAATCGCTTCTTCAGCCGGTCCAAGATGGTTTTGTTTGAAGCTTCGGCTTGACCATTTGATTGGGGGTAGGCCGGTGTTGAATTGTAGAACTCAATCTTTAACTCCTCGCAAAACTCGCGAAAACATTTTTCGTCGAACTGAGTGCCATCATCCGAAATGAGAGCTTTCGGGATGCCAGACTGGGTGATGAAATTCTGTCAGACAAATTTTTTAACATCTTTTTCCTTGATGGTGGCCAATGGCTCGGCATCTGCCCACTTTGGGAAGTAGTCGGTAGCAGCGATGAAAAGTTGCGATTGCCTGGAGCTGTTGGAAGAGGCCCTACAATGTCTAGCCCATAAAGCGCAAATGGCCAAGGACTTGTAAGGTGGAGCAACTCTTTGTCCAGTTGGTGAATCTAGTCAACAAATTTTTGACATTTTTTGCATTTGCGAACATATTTCTACGCGTTAGCCTGTATGCATGGCCACCAATAACCCTTGGGAAATTTCTCGGTAAGCCCAAGATCCACCCCTAATATGGCTTCCGTAGATGGCTTCATGAATCTCGAAGAGGAAAGCTTCAACCTTGTTGGGGTGGACACAGTTCAGGTATGGCCTAGTGAAAGATTTCTTGTACAAGGTGCTAGATGGAGACAACCAAAGCTGCTCTGACTTGGCCCTTATCTTGTTGGCCTTTTTCTTTTCATTAGGTAGAATTCGATCCTTCAGGAAGGTGATAATAGGATCCATCCAATATGGTCCCAAGTCGGCGCAGTGTACTTCAGGCACCTCCGGTTCCTCAATGCTCGGTCAGGGTAAGAATTCTATCATCAAAGGATTGGGAAAAGTCGTTTGCATAGATGCTAGGCCGGCCAATTCGTCGGTTGCATTATTTTTTTCGCAGTTAATTTGTTCCATTTTTATTGCAGCAAACGTTTTTGATTTCTGCGCATACCAGTGCTTGATACATAGCCATCCTTTCATCCCTGGCCTCATATTCCTCAGAGACCTGATTGATAACCAGCTTGGAGTCGCTGAATACCACAAGTTTTGAAGCCTTCATTCATAAAGCGCTCTTCAATCTGGTGAGGAGGGCTTCATGTTCCGCCTCATTGTTGGATGCTAGGAACCCGAGTGTGATCACATGCTCAATGGTCAGCCTATCCGAGGATGTCATCGCGACCTCTAGCCCGACGCCATGTCTATTGAAGGCGCCATCGACAAAGAGTTGCTACATCTCGCCAATGAACAACTTCCAGCAGTCGGAGGGATATTGAGAGTTCCTCCACTTCAAGGAACTGGTCGGCTCATTCTGGTCTCCTTTTACATCTCCGCCGAGCATGTATTTTGGTAAATCAGCCGGTTCTTCCATCTCTTGCTCAGTTTTCTCTTGCCATTCTGCTATTTGTTGTCCACCACTTATTTCTGCTATCCGAGCCGTGGGCTGCACCAAGTCTGCACTAGCCAAATCGATAGGGTAAAGAGGGTATGCTCTAGGGACAAATTCTGCCACGAAGTCGGCAAGGTCTTGAGCTTTGATAGTACCGCGTGGCTAGAACTTGATATCGTATTGCCTCAATTTCGTAGCCCACTTCTGCCGGTGAAATCTGCCTTTTCAAAGAGCACCTTGACCGGTAATTCAATTAGCACGACTACCGTATGGGCATGAAAATAGGGCGCCAGCTTTCTGGAAGCCATCATGAGAGCCAGAGCTAGTTTTTCTAGCAACAGATATCTTGATTCAACCGAGAAGAGTGTCTTGCTAATATAGAAGATGGGGAGGTATTGGATTCCCTCAGCACCGATGAGGACGACGCTCACCGCGTACTGAGAAACTGCCAAGTAGAGATACAGTTCTTTGCCCAGTTTTGGTGTGAACAAGATTGGTGTCGAGGAAAGGTATACCTTTAGATCTGCCAGTGCACGGTCGCACTCGTCATCCTAAAAGAACTTGGCCTTCAAAGTTTTCAAGAAAGGCCTGCAACGATCTGAAGATCGACAAATAAATCAGTTCAGCGCGACTGCCATTCCGGCGAGATGTTGCAAGTCCTTCTTGGAGTTTGGCTGCTCCGGTTCTTTTATTGCCTTGAGCTAGGAAGGGTCGGCCTCGATTCCTCGATTTATGACAAAAAAACCTAGAAATTTCCCGGTTCCAACTTCGAATTCACACTTGGAGGCATTTAAACACAACTTGTGATGTTTGAGTACGGCAAACATTTCTACTAGGTCGACAAGGTGTTGAGACTTGTCTTTGCTCTTCGCCATCTTGTCATCGGTGTAAGGCTCCATAGTGCGGCCAAGAAGAGGAGAGAATATTTTGGTTACCATCCTTTAAAAAGTTGCCCCGATATTTTTGAGACCGAACGTCATGACCTTGTAGCAGTACAAGCCTCTTGGAGTGGTGAACGAAGTGATCTCTCGGTCTGGTTTGTACATAGCGATCTGGTGGTAGTCGCGATATGCATCTAGGAAGCTAAACCTCTGATGGCCAGCAGTTGAACCCACAACCTGGTCTATTCTCAAGAGGAGGAAGTTGTCCTTTGGGCACGCACGTTTGACTGTCTTATAATCGACCCACACCTACTATTTACCATTCTTCTTCAGCACTACCACTGTGTTAGAGATCCATCTGGGGTACTGCACTTCTCCTATCGCCCCAGCTTCCAAAAAGTTCTTGACCTTCTCTCCCACTATCTTGGCATGGTGCATGGCTGAGCACCGCATTCTCTGGATGACCTGTCGTGCATTTGGAAAGACATTTAACTGGTGGCAAATGAAGCTAGGGTTGACACCAAGCATATCATAAGGAGTCCACGCAAATGCCTCAATGTTTGAAACAAAAAAGTTGACATAATCGAGCCGCTTGGCGTTGGACAAAGATGATCCCAAAAGAAAGAACTTATTTGGATCATTCTCATCAACGCGCACTTCCACCAAATCTTCAGCCAATTTCTCTTTGACTTTTCTTCCCACGACTTCCAGGACTTCCTTTCCTTCTGGTCCTTCTATCATTTGAACAAAGCCTTTGGCAGCTCGGCTACCATTTACTATGAAAAAGCACTGTTTTACCATTACTTGGTCCCCCAAAACCTTTTCTACTTGCCTGGCTAGTGCTGGAAAGCACAGGACTTGGTGATAAGTCGACGCTACTGCCTGCATGACGTGCAACCAGCCACTTCCCTGGGTGAAGTTGTAGGTTTATGGGACCTTAAGCACCCAAAATTCCACTTGCTTCGTGAGTGACCCAACTTTGACCAGCAATATAATCTTTTCGATTGGCCATTCGGGCTAAGAGTTGAAGCCTACCAAAGGGGAAGTTGTTGGAGCCAAGTCTTTGTCCTCCAACTTTATTTGTTTGAACGCGTGTCATAATACATGATCTCGACCAAGCTCCCCTGGTCAATTAGAATTCTTTTGATATCGAAGTCCTCGATGCGAAGGGTCAAGACTAAGGCATCATTATGAGGCGTTTGAATTCTCTCAAAGTCCTTGCTTGAAAAAGTTAAGACGTCTTTTACCTCGTTCTTTCCTTTCTTCACGACAAGTTGAACAGAGGGAACTTCCCTCATATGCTCAGCCTTCTTGATCATCTCCCTCAGCTCGCAAACTCGCACTGGTTCGATGGTGTCGTGAATGACATTGATTGCACCTTGGAGTGCTACATCCAGGACAGCAAGGCCATTTAGCTTGGCCTGTCCTTGCGGAGTTGCCCCCATACCCCTGTCTATGTACTGGTCCAGATGCCCAACCGCCACCAGCTCCGCCAAATGTCGTTTAAACGGCACACAGTCCTCCGTTTGGTGCCCCCTTTCTTCATGAAAGGTGCAGCGATACCTCGAGTCAAAGCCCCTCGGTGTATCTCCCAATTTGGCCGACCAACGCACATAGGACTCACCTCGGATCTCATTTAGGATGTAGTAAATTGGGATCTTAAAGACAGTGGTGATGCCGGTTTGTGCTTTCAACTTCCTCCTGGCATCTTCCTTTTCATTACGAAGAGTGTTAGCTCGGTTGTTTCTGCGACTTTTGTTTCTATCATTGCGGTTTAAATCGCGATGTTGGTCTCTAGCTCGGTCATTAGAGCGGTTGTCCTCCTGTCCCACAGAGTGAACCTTCCTAGCCACTCCTCTGCCCACCACAACTAGATTTGCCTTCTCGGTTGCGGTGGCAGTGCTAGCATCATCTTCTACTCGGATATGTTCGTTGATTTGCTGTATCATGGACTTCATGGTTATGGGCTGATCCATCGTAAGCGAGTCTTGCAGCCTATGTCCGACTGGGAGACCTCGCTTGTATTGTGCGATCCCAAGATTGGTGGGGCAATCGAGGATCTCATTGTAAGTTTCCCAATACTTGGAAATGTAAGCCTTCAAAGAACCTCCAGATTCCAGCTCGACGCAGAGGAGGTGGTCAACCTCCTTCGGTGTTCGAGTGTTGGCTTTGAATCTAGTGACAAAGACCTCTGCTAGTTGTTGCTGCCCCCCGATGCTCCCCTCCGGGAGTCTTTCGAACCACTTCAGACCCAGTTCTCCCAAACTTGCTGGGAATATGAGACACATCAAGGCGTCATTGTGCTAGTGGCGAGCCATTACTTGATAGTAAGGACTCACGTGGATGTCCTGATCCGTTTTGTTGTCGTACAATGTGAACTTAGGTTGGTGGAATCCGGCCGGGAGTGGCATGCTCTCAATCTCTGGGAACAGTGGGGTAGCGGTAAATCTCGCTAGCACTCTGTCCATTGGTGTCGGGGCCATCATTCTTGGTGCTCGCATTGCCAATTCCTCACTGCAACGAATTTGGGGACTCAGCCTTTACAACGCCGGCAATATTTGGGTCTCTCTACGGCGAGCTCGCTCCTCTAATACATCTCTCAGGTCCCCCAAATGGGCAGAGTAAGAGTATCTCGATGTCGTCGACGGACGTGAGGGACAGTAACTGCTGTCGCAAGTGTGAGAACTCTCCACTGGTGGGTCGGAGTCTCCAACTCCATAGCTTCTGGTGATAGAGAAAGAGGGCGTCCCATCTTGGCGAAGACTGTCAGAGCGACGGGGTGGGGTGTGCTCACTATGGTTGCCCACTCCAGCAACACCCTTCCCCTTGATCTGGTGCTTCTCAATTTCAACCGCCATCTTCTGAATGAGGGCGTCCTAGTCTCTGAGTTTGTGCTCCAAGTGCTGAGCATGTGACTCTCCTCATCGTCGGTGACCATATGGACTCTTGAAGTGTTCAGCCCTCCTTGCACGTTTGTCTAGCGTGCTTTCGGAAGAGGCTTCCAAGTTCGCCATGGTCGGAATAGTGGGAGGGCCATCTCTTCGTTGGACAAACTCTGGTGTGATACCGTTGACAACGGACAGCGGTGTTTTGTCGTTGTTAGCCATGGAAACGGTTGAAAAAACTTGGCCAAGAAGGTTTTCCTGTTAAAGAGTTCCTGCAGACGATGGCAATTGTACGGTGGTGAAATATTCTCTGTTATCTGTACTCCTTGAATCTGAGCTTCACGTGACATCACCTAACCTGAAAACCAAAAGAACTTTAGTTGCCCGGCGGTGTGCTGCCGGATAAACCCTCCGACGATCAAGTCAGCACACTTGGAGAAGAAGAAGAAGAAGAATAGAGAGAGCACTTTAGAACGAGAGAGTTTGGAATTCCTTCTGATTGCTTACCTCTAATGCCTCTCTTCTCTTCTTTTTCTAGGCTGGCCATGAAGTGTCAGAGATTGTGGGCGCACTACCTCTGTTGTCCTTCTCTAAGCAGGTGGCTGTGCTCCTCTCTCCACCTTTCTTACACGTGTAGAGACCGAAACCTCCAAATAGTGTTTGTCAAACCGCCAAACGGTATTGACACATACCAGGCGTGGATTTTCTCTACTTTACCATTGGTCCAGGTGGCTTACACTACCAGGCTATCACTTGGAAGAAACAGACACCACAACAAATTGGAATGACCGAGCTACAATAAACCGGTCCATCGGGATCAACTGGTCGTAGGATGCTCGGTTCAGCATCTCGGCCTTGCCCTGCTACCTCGTAGGACTCCTCGGCCCTACGTCAGTATGGATAGTTCGTGGTTCGGCCCAATGCATTCGTACGAATTTAAGCAAATAACCATTTTAGCCGAATCATAGCTCGGTCAGCTTGCCCGACCCAACTTGATGGGTTGGGGTAGCCGCGTTGGTTAAGTTTGGCCAGGTTCATGGTCCTTGGCCCTAGCAAGGAGCAATGCCATATCCCACACTTACATAGCTCGGCCCAATTGTTTGGTGCAAATCTCCCTCTCAATTGCCCTTAATCCCATCCGAGCTAAGTGTGATTGGGATTACTACTTCGGTCGAGCCATCTAATTTGGTCGGTCATTGAGGACTGCGTCAGTAGTCTTGTCATCGATCAATCACCTGTACTGACAAACCATCTTTTCAACACCACGTGGCCTTCCCTGACTGGTTCCGTGCATTCCTATTACAGTTCACAATATACCAGAGATTTGAAAAGTGGCTGCCTATTCGGTATCCCCCATATATACGCATAAGAAGCCCCAAAACCCTTATCACTGTTCAACTCCCTTCTGGAGAAACCCTACGCTTTAAACCCCCAAGCATCTGCCACCACCTTTGTCACTGTTGTCATTGCTTTTTGGGTTATTGCCAGCTATTTATGTCCTCACGAACGCCTCAGTAAGGGTCATGGTCGTCTGGGTCCTAACTTGGCTTCCATACCCTTATGTTTTTCTCACTTTCCTTTATATTCTCCAATGATGTTCTTCGTGTTATTAATTCCCGTCTATTTTGTGACTGTTCAAATATTGCCTATGCCCCTCTTGTGGGATTAATATCTATGAGCGTCAGGCCAAATTGAAGCCCTAAGTAGCAACAGGGCTTCCTTGCCCCTTATTTGCATTGATTACTGTACGTAGTTCTGGATTTAGGATAAATACTGAAAACTCTAGGTAGAATCAATCAAAAACCCACTTTTAGATTTAAAAATAGGATTTAGCCGAGCTGGAACTGGTTCGAGGTTCTCCCTTGAGGTCCTCCCTGTGGAAAGATCGAACCGAGATAGGAATCGAAATACAGCACCACAATAGGTCAAATGGCCAGAATCTCAAATTGAGCTAAAAAACTTCCTCATAAGAGCCGTGCAAGTTATGCCGTGCTAATACTTTGACTTATTTTTTAATAATGCAGAACAAACTAGGACCGACCAGGCCCTCTCAACATAACTGTCGATGAGGCCCAAAGATCGAGCAAACAATCACCCAATTTTGATCGAGCTACAATCAAAATTACCTAACTAAATAAAACTGGGATAGATGGGGAAGTAGCAGTTTATGGTTAATTCACCTGGGGCAATGGCCGAGTTCCATAGAGAATACAATATTCCAGACGATGTCCATATAGAGCTGGCAAAGAAAGGAGACAGTCCCTGCGGCAAACTGGACAAATGCCCTTTCACGGTGGTATCCATTATGGAAGCCAGCCTACGCTTCCCGGTCCAACCCTTAGTCTGCGAATTTTTGAGACAGACTAGGCTGTGCTCAACCCAAGTCTATAATATCATATACAAAAAAATGAACGGCGTGGCCGCACTGAATAGGATACTCGGTTTGAATCTCAGCCTCATCGAGATATTCCATCAATACACACTGACCAGAAATAAAGGGGGGTTTGTTGGTATCTCAAAGTTAGGAAAGGCCGAGCAAACCTTATCCAAGGTAACCCGGATAAAGAGACAAACGACGATGATTTCCCGTGGGGGTCCGGTAATTACGTGGACACCAAAGCACCCATACCGGGCTAGTACATAAAAAAAGATGTTAGGAGTGCTGGTGAGCACCCTAGCATGTTTTTAATTCTGTAATTATTCTTGTTTTTGCAGATCTAACCCTTGCTTTCTTGTTGCAGACTACAGACTCTTGGCCGATGATTCCTCCCGCGCAAACCAAGAGGCCATAAGGATTGCGTTGCGGCATCCAGCCGCGGAGCGAGAGCCTCAAAAATTGCTCGGTTACGAACCGAGTTACTGTTACACAGCGCTGAGCAGGAGCAGGGTGACCGACTTCCTTCATGTCCCATTTCCAGAGCCGAACCCAAACCTTCAGCCAATCAAACTTGTACTGTTGACAGAAGAAAAAGAAATGGCCAAAATCTGAGCCATAAAGTCTATGATCACGAGGGAGGCAAGCGACTCATAGAGGGCTGAAACGACAGGAAGCCAAACATCGAGGGCTACCGTGCAAAAGGGGCCTGTGCTAGCTCTTGCCAAGAAAGGAGCAAGCCATGTAGTGGCTTGTTGACGAAGATTCGGCCGAGCTACCATTGATTGAGCAGGGAGAGTAGACTGATCAACCGCTTTTTGGGCGATCCGCCCATTCCACTGCCCCTACAGTCTGGTCACTCAAGCTAAAATACAAAGGCCGAGCAGTGACGAAGGCGGACTCCGTTTACGCGGATAAGGACCATTTGCTCGGCTTCAACATGACCAAGGCTTTGCTTCTCCCTGCGGACATGAAGAAGCATGAGGAACTGTCCGACCAGAAAGTCATCCGGTCGGCCGAAAAATCGGTCGTTCTGGTAAGTGATTGAGTTATTGTACTTCCAAGTTATCAATCGATTTCTCATACTAACTACTGCCTTGCTGCAGGCCACGCAGAAAAACTTTTTGGTGCACGAACGTATGATTTCTGTGCTGCAGAGTTTGATGGAGGCTATCGCTGAAAACAAATCCAAGACGGCCGAGTTGGAGAAGTTGAAGACTGCACACGAGGCAGTGTTAACCGAGTGAGATATCCTGGCTGAGAAGTTGGCGAAGGCCAAGGAGGAGACGGATAAGGCTGTGCAGGCCAAAAATGAGGGATATCTGGCCGAGCTACCCAAGCTATGTGCCACCCACAGGGCTAAGCTAAAAAAAGAAGTGGACGACGCCAAAGATCGGGGATATGCCGAGGGAGAAAGGTTGTACGGGTAGCAGGTGGTGGGCACCAAAGACATATTTTTTTAGTGCCGCTAGAAAGCGACTGCGAAAAATCTCGGTTAAGCGCCGGAGTCCGAGGTGTTCAATAACACCCCATTTGCCTTCATTCCCTCCTATATGTAGGTATATGCTACCACTATGCAGTAGAAGTTGATAGACGACGCTAAGGAGGCCAGCGTGGTCGATGAGCCAACTCTACAGCCAACCGACAAGACCCCACTGCCAGCCATATTGGAAGAGGCGGCGCCGAGCAGTGAGCAAGAGCCTTCAACCGCCGAACGAGGAACGAACTCTCGCACTGAAACCACACAGAATGTGGCAGAAGAGGTGGTGGGACACTGTAGATATCGACTAAGGGGTAGCTAGGCTTATGTTTGTCCCTTTTTTTTTCGTATTGATGTAGTCGGCTACGAGCCCCACTTTTGTAATCAAGCTTTATCATGAATGAAAAGTGAACTTTTTCCTCGCCATGTATGCAAATTTTTTGTTTGCCCTGTGGTTGTCATTTTCTTCGATTTGGCCGAGATAAAATCTTCTCGGTGCATTCTGAGCGTAATGGTCCCAGTTTAACGAGCAAACTCATCTTGGTTTAA